AGCAATAATGAAAAGATTATCAATTTGCCAAGTGAGGGCTAATGAATGACACTGTGCTAAGGATCGAGCCTGGCCATTTTTTACTAAAATAATGTCTTAGTTTAACAGCTTCATGCAGGCATCACACCAGGAGTGAAAAATCACCTCAGGCACAGGATAATCTGAAAATAGCAGAGTATTTAAGCTAGTCCCAGCTGAAGAGCAGAGAAGTCTGAATAGAGTCAGAAAAAGCAAATGTGGATAAAACCAGGGCTGGGGCAAGATTCCATCATGAAAAGTGTGATTAAAGCAAAGTACTGTCAAGCCCATGTTCCACAGAGGACTTGATGCATTTTACATTTTGGATGTACATGTTATGACAACTGATACTAGGTCCTAAATTGCACATCTTTGTCTTGCATGAATTTGTATGCTCGGAGTACTTTTTTTATTCAAAATCTCAGAAGTCCTGCTATTATATCATTCCAACATCACTTACGTAAACTAGGCAATACCAGCAAGATGTTTCTCTGGAGCATCCCACCACTTAGTGCTGTTTTCCTTAATGCTTTATTTACATTGTTCATATTACTTCAAGGCTAGAAGAGATATTCAATACATTACGGAATTATTGGCCTGCCTTGACTTGGTATTTCCTAACATATTTATTATTCTCACTCTTATCTTGAAAAAAATCATCAGTACATCCCACTTCCCAAAAATCCCAACCAAGCAAGCTAAGAAATAAACAAGACCCCTCTCTGTGGTATTAACATTATTCCTTTCTTTAGTAAGATTCTCTGAAATAGTGGAATTTACTCCACAATGCAACAGTGTCTGCAGCACCAGTAGGCTTTCAGATTAGAAAGCAACATGTAATTTAAAAGAATTTATGCATCCTGGAATGATTCTTCAAACTGGTCAACTCCACACTGCCTGGCAAGTTATAGTTGACACTGAAGTTTTTACTTCCTCTCATTTAACTTCTCCATTAGTAGAAACCTTAAAGCCCATATAAACTATATATGGTCTCTTATTTCCTTGAGCTTTCAGTAAAATGTTTCCAATTCTACAAGGCATGAGAAATAAGGTCTGCCAGAATAATTCTGTGGACTTTGTCTATAAATATCAGGAGCCGATACACTGTTTCCTATGGATATAATTCTGGAGTGTTTTGGATTTTTTTTACACATATATCCATTAGGAAAGAAAGTCTTTGCATAAAGGAAGGTGCAATAACATTTGTGAGGGCTGAAAAAATCTAGAGCAATTACATCAGTTTTTAACTTTTTGGAACATGTTAGCAGAGATATGCTATTTCTAAACATAACTGGTTAAGAAGCCCAGTATTAAAAAAAAAAAAAAAAAAAAGGCAGAGGGAATTGTGTTCAATTAGATATAAAACACTTCTACATGGAATGTCTCCAGTTTGTGTAGCAAATGCTCTGTGACAGGACACTGCTGTTGCTCTATGGAAATGGATTGTCCTCTGAAGTGTATCTTTGAGGTGACAGAGAATTCAAAGTAGTGTTTCATTGCTGCTGAACAGACCGAGGCCCTTACATTAGTTAACATTTTAAAAGCTCTTATGCACTACATTTTGAACAAAAAATATTTATATATTTAAATGATACATAAAATATTGTAAAAATATTACTGTAATAGTTTTCTGTATAAAAAACACTCCTTGCATTAAGAGAAAAGTCCAAACAAGTCTCCATGGAGACCAGATGATCACCACCAAGCTTTCTAGAAAAAACACGATAAAACAATATCTGTGGAAACGGTCTATAAAATGGAAGGACTGAGGCTGCTCTCCCTATATACACATATATGTATATTCATGTTATCCACACCACCATTTGGCTTGGGTTGCATACACTGTTATTGAACAAGGACAATGCATGAAGTCTTTGCAGTATGCCTTCATCTAGGTCATCTGGATTTATCTGTTTTCTCAGCACAGGTGCTGAGTTTTGGATTTGACTCCAATACCTGTAAGAAAGTGCTGGCTTGTGTACTAGTTTCTGATATTTTCTGTTCTTTTGAATAAAAGATCCTACAAGGCAAGAGTGCTAGGACTACCAAAACAGTTGGGCAAAAAGACCTGTCCAAGTACAGAACAAAAAATACGGAGAAAGTAGTTACCTAGGATCTAATATATCTGTTCAGCTACTCCAAAAGAGTCTATAGCAGTTGCAGCTTCAGAAAAAGAAGCAATAACAGTAAGAAAAAACATCTGAAATTTTAATTTCAGTTCTGAGTTAATCTTTTGTACCTTTTTATGTTCTCATCTATGTTCAGGTTTATATTTCATCTCTTCTGGTGATTTTTTGCCTCATTAAAGTAATTAAAAACACTGAGCATGAAAACAGCCTTCTCCCTAAAACCGTTTGCATGGAAGTAATAGAGCTCCTGCTTAAACTAATCTCTACCATAGTATATATTTCAATTTTGAAATACCAATGCTATTAATAGCATATATGAAGGTGAATGAATAAAAAGTTAATTCCCAAAATTGACAAAATAGTCACATCTCAGGAAGTTAATACATGAACCAGAGATATGAAGAATGAGTCATACCGTAATTTTATGGCTTCAGTTTTACAGTCTTCCTGATCAGTGGTGTTTTTTTGGTTTTGGGGTTTTTTTTGTATATGAAGGACATACACATATAATGCAAACTTATCTGTGAATTAAGGGGATAATCAGACTGTAGTTATTAAAGTTGGTTGTTCATATTCAGCCATATCTCCTTGTAAACCACACATACATAATTTGTTTTTTTAAGTTTTTAGTTTATTTATAACATAATAAAATTAAATTAAAACCAGTTAATCCCTGGGATATGGACATTCACATTGAAAAAAATAATATAACAAAGCACCACCAGCTGAAAAATGATCTCTGAAGTTTCTTCTGTGACCAGGTTCAAAGGGATTATTCTGGGGGAGATTAAAATTTTAATTATGCCTGAAAACAGAGAACTCAGTGTTAACTAAAGGTACTGATCTAAGCAGAATACACATTAGCCACAGAGCCTCTTTGATAATCCTAGAAAACTGTCTCATTCTAAATTTGCAAATCCTATTCTGTTTCAATTTGAGATTTCTCTGGACTGCATTTCACTGAATTGCAATGAAGTCTTTTGTAGCCTGGGGTTCTGTAGTTCTTTTGCAATCAAGATTTCCCAGGAGTGTTGTAATCTGAAGTAAAGATGAGAACTAGGGGTTTTTTTCAGTTTAGAAAAAATACATCAAAAACTGAAGCTTTGCTGTGTTCCTGAATCCAGATGGAATTTACTTAATAGTTTGAGAGGGGAAAAAATCTGAAAAAAGAATCACAAAACTATTGAATGAGGATGATGTGTTACGCACACCAGAGTAACATGTAGTCTGGCTTTTTTGGGCACTTAGGAGATGTGGGTTCAAATCCTTTTTAGATGAGATAATACAACAGAAGATATGCAGACAAATAAAAAATTAATTATTGACACAGCCTAGCCCTGAAGAATAGTTGAGAACATGAATAATTTAGAAAGTACATCTGAAAGCACGCATTATTTGAGAGCAGAGCTGAGAGCATGTTAACAGGGACAGCAGAGTGACTGGAGGTTTGCTGGACCACTACTACTCAGTTGCTGTAAGTACCAGGCATTTGCAAGTTATGAGGAATGACTTGGGCAGAAAGAAGCCTGCTGTGCTATGTAAAGGACGTTACCCTTGAAATCTTAAAAGTACAAGTTACCTAAGTGAGCTTGCAAGACTGTTTACTTTCATAGTGTGGTAAATCCACCAGTTTTTGAGCTATACCAGTGCTGAAGAGGTATGCATGTATTTGCCATCTGTATATCTGGTGAATCAGTTTAATATGTATACCCCAGACATAGAATAGGAAAACCCTAGCTATTATATAGAAATTCTATGTTGAGTTTTTAACATATTATTCTATCTCAGTATGCTTTTATTTTACAGGAGACTATGTAGTCATGTCTGTTTACTTTAACCTGAGCAGGAGAATGGGTTATTTCACTATTCAGACCTACATTCCCTGCACACTTATTGTTGTGTTGTCCTGGGTCTCTTTCTGGATTAATAAGGATGCCGTTCCAGCCAGAACATCACTGGGTGAGTTGTTTTTTCTTCCTGCTTTTATTCAAGCATTATGATGTTTAATTGACACCTCTGTGGATCACCAGTTTGTAAATGTAAGAGGAGAGACAATTTCACATGAGCTCTCCTCATTTAGAGGAATGTAGTCATTTCCAAGGAATAACACAGCCTAAACGACATTTATAAACCAACCATATCCTGGGCTGCCTCAAAAGAAGTGTGGCCAGCAGGTCGAGGGAGGGGATTCTGCCCCTGTACTCTGCTCTGGGGAGACCCCACCTGGAGCACTGCGTCCAGCTCTGGAGCCCTCAGCACAGGAAAGACACGGACCTGTTGGAGCGGGTCCAGAAGAGGGCCACGACAATGATCAGGGGGATGGAACACCTCTCCTGTGAAGAAAGGCTGAGAGAGTTGGGGTTGTTCAGCCTGGAGAAGAGAAGGCTTCGGGGAGACCTTCTTGCAGCCTATCAGTACTTAAAGGGGGCTGAGAAACAAGGTGGGGACAAACTTTTTAGCAGGGCCTGTACTGACAGGACAAGGGGTAATAGTTATAAACTAAAAGAGGGTAGATTCAGACTAGATATAAGGAAGAAATTTTTTACACTGAGGGTGGTGAAGCACTGGCCCAGGTTGCCCAGCGAGGTGGTGGATGCCCCAACCCTGGCAGCATTTAAGGTCAGGTTGGACGGGGCTCTGAGCAACCTGATCTAGCTGACGATGTCCCTGCTCACTGTAGGGGGCGGTGGACTAGATGGAGTAATCCTGCTGGATTACGTGCTTTCTTAAGAATTTTCATTAATTTCTACTTTATATAATGGCTGCAATTGTGTCTCTTAGTTCCACTGGTATCATTACTCTGCAACTAAAAATAAGCAAAACTTACCCCAACAGCACAAAAAGTTTGAGATTGGCCTTGAGTTTACTTTGAAGAATGGAGTAAAGTGATTTTTATTCTCCACCATGATTTTCTCACTCTGAGACAAGTTCTCTTCTATCTAGCTCTGTTTCAGGGTTTGAGCACACAAACACGAAAACTAAATTTCTCAATTAAAAAATAAAGGTCCCCTAGAAGTAAACTACAAAACTAAAAAACTAAATTAGATTTCTTAGAATCAGAATCCATCTAACCAAAGTACTCTGCAGAGCAGCACTTGCAGTGACCATGCAAGAATGTTTCATACCCCATGTTAATCCTAGAAGCTCTCATTGAATCCACATTTCACTGCTGGGATGTGCTGTTTAATATCTTTGCTATATGTTTGAACTCCAGGCATACTTCAAAACCAGTCAGAGAAAGAGAACTGGCAAAATCAGTTTTTTATTTGAAGTAATAATATTTCTGTTGTTTTCTATCTATCTACCAGGTATTACAACTGTCCTAACAATGACCACCTTAAGTACAATTGCCCGTAAATCTCTTCCCAAAGTCTCCTATGTGACAGCAATGGATCTTTTTGTGTCAGTCTGCTTTATTTTTGTTTTCTCTGCACTGGTGGAATATGGAACTTTGCACTACTTTGTCAGCAACAGAAAGCCAAGCAAGGATAAAGACAAAAAGAAGAAAAATCCAGTACGTATCTTTTTACCAGCAAGGTCTAAAATTCAATTAGGCTTTCTGAGAGAGCACTTAAATCCCTCTTTATGCTTGTACGTTCTTTTCAGACTTTGCTATTACCTATATACTCTTTCTTTTTATTAATAGGAATGCAAACATTCACCTTGAAAATGAAAAGCTCATAGATTACGGTTGTCTGGATGCCAGAGAAACTAATTTCTTAGAATAAGAATCCTTTTAACCACAGTGTTCTGCAAATCACAACTATCACCAAAACCATTATTTATGTTATAGATAGAGCTCCTGCTATGACCTTTATGGAAGAACTGTCAGTTTTTCTGTCTTAGCTTTAGCAACGTTCTCTGCCATTAACTTATGTCCGTATTATTGACATGACTGTTTTTCTTATTATCAGGACTACAGTCAAACCTTTATATTCAAACTACAGTGTGCTTTTTCTAATTTCCCCTTAAGCATCTGTTTCCTTTTCATTGTTTCCTTATATTCTTTTTCTTGTATTTCTTACCTCCTTTATCTACTTCTCTCCCTTAGAAAGTGATTTGGCTAGCAGTTTACAATATTACTTATGGATGCATGCTACACAATAATAAAAAAAAGGTATATAATAGCCACAATAAAAAAAATCCTGGAAATACCCTCAGTAGTGGTTTGGGGTTTTGTCCACATAGGGAAAAAGTTTGTTGCTTATTTTGCCCAGGACAGATTTCTCCTTGCCTTTTACAACTGAACTGAAAAGTCTGTTGTCTAGAATCTCTGAGGTGAAAAGAATTAATGTAAAATCCTAGAGGAAAAAGTAGCCTAGTAGTCTACAAAAAAAACCAAATATGCCTGTGAAAAATGTGAAGAACAAGTGTTTTGCATTTATAGAGAGTATCTTCAAATCCATTTCAGGCATCTAGGAAAAAATGAAGTCACTTGGATTTGCTATGTTAAAATCTTCAAGGACTTTTGGAGACATTCTCTTTTAGTAATAACACACAGCACAAAAATACTATAGAAAAAATATTAAAGAACCGTTTATTACACATTATTGCTATAATTTCAACTTTAAATGCTGTTGAGAAGTAGACTCTAAAAAAATAAATAAAATAGATATACTCTGTAGCGGATAAACAGCCAGAAAAACATCTGTAGGACTATAGAGGAAGAATTCTCACCTAACTTTAGGTATGCTAAAGTTGGATTTGATCATAGGCCTCTCTTTTGGTCAAAAGAAAGAAAGAGGCACTTCCAGAGGGTGATGCGTCATCCTGGCCTGTCTTAGGCCAAAATAAAAGGCTGTCTATGTGCATGTGTGTCTTTCACAGTCAATTAAAGAAGCACAGACTAACCACCTCAAATTTAGTTGTCTCACTCAAAGATGTCCATATAAGGGCAGGTTACTTGTTCTTTCCATTACTTGCCTGTGAGCATTTGGGGACCAACAGAACTATAAATGATTGCCTGGATCCTAACCACAGAGTCCAAAAAACTTAAAAGTAGAGTGTTCAGGACCCAGTCTGCAGGTAAAAAGATTTTTTTTTCTAAAAAGTGTTTTTATAAACTGTGAATGGTCTCTCTTTCAAAACAGTTCAACATAAAAGATTGGAATCCCCTGGAAATATGAAAAGATCTAAATGGAGTTTGATATCTTATGTCTTTGGCCCAGATGTAGTTACAAGACAGTGACAAGTGAGAAATATGGGGGGTTTATATTACAGATACTTGTTTAAATTGCTATTATCCCAACCTTTCTATAAATTTAGTTCTTTTTGACTTACTATGTTTTAGAAACATATTTTTAATTTACATTATTTTTGTCTCTTTCTTTCCTTTCTTTCTTTAATTTAAAACAAAACCCTCTGATTCTCTTTTCTGTCTACAAAATGAAAGCTTCTTCGGATGTTTTCCTTCAAGGTATAAAGTTTTTTGGAATGGAAATTCACTGCATGCGACTGCTGAATTTAACTATTAGAGCTTATATGAGAGTGGTGTTTTGTTGGTTTGGGGTTTTTTTTAATGAGACATCTAAGCATTCTACTCAAGGTAACTTCCTAATTAAGTAGAATGGTTACATATTTCTAAACAATTTGTAGAGTTGATTCAGCAGCCCAAATAACGATTCACTATGGTTCTGAACTTATGTAAGTTCAAGAGTGACCAACTTTATTGGATCACATGAATTAAGAGAGTTTAATGTTAAAACATTTCTGCTCCTCTCTGTCTCAATTTGCCATGGGATCCAATAGCACCAGCTACACCAGAAACCTGCAATACACCCTTTCAGAACTCAACTCTGACCTGGCCTTTTTAACCTTTATGATTTCACTCCAAATTATAAAACCAAATCTGTTCTGATGTTGACCTGAACAAAATTCATTGTCATCATCAATTACTCAAATGCTGTTCTTTATGCAAAAAAAAGTCAGTGTTTTGAAAGGGTTTAAGATGTGTATATATATTTAATGCTGTCACTGGATCAACACACTCTTAGCAAATTAGCAAATATATCTATGTTTTACATCTAAACCTTATCTTCATTCAGAAATGCAGAGATTTCATCAAAAAACCAAACCACGTAAAGAAAGAAAGAAACCACATAAAAGAAAGGCCAAGAAATTTACATACTTATGGAATGGAATTGTTGTTAAATTACCCTAATAACTATCAGCAGGA